CGCGAGCCGCGCCTGTGGCTATGTTCAATCTCGTTGGCCAGTCTATGAAGGTCTCGGGGCCTCGAGCTGCAGTTTATTTATGAAACAAATTGTCATTTGTTAGGACAAATTCGAGGCATGATAAAGCAATAGAAAAAGGAACCTCTCCAATTTAGTTGGTAATTAGAAAGAGATCAATTTCTTCGATCCTTATCATGCATTATTATACTTTTAAGAGATAAGATAGGCGAAATAGTATATTCTTCTATTGTCCTAAAATCCACCGTGGCCCTTTAAACTAAGGGCCAGTTTAGATAATGGAAGTATTAGAAGTAAGAAGTAGGTTATAGAAGTAACTTTCAAAGCTATGAAGTAGGAAGTAGTGGAAATAGCATTTTTTTTGTTTGTTTCATATATTTTTAGAAGTAATAGAAGTAGAACTTCTTCCTCTTCTTCTTCCTCTTCATTTATTTTTTTTGTTTGGATAACATTTGGAAATATTACTAGGAAGTAATTTTATCAATGAAAAGTTGTTAGAAATAACTAATAAAGGAAATATTAATAAAAAAAATTATTTATGTCCTAATTAATATGCATTTCAACTACTTCCGAGCTACTTCTAAGTATTGAGGATTGGAAAAATATTTTGGAAGTAAGGATGCCATGTAGGCGTCACATAAGCATTTAAGGAAGTATTGGAAGTAAGTTTTTCAGAGAACAAAACACACTTTTTTGCTTGGAAGTAGCAGAAGTAGCTTTTACTTCTTTTACTTCAGCTACTTCACAATTACTTCCGTGCAAACAAACAGGCCCTAATACGTGATCATTATTGTGATAATGGAAATTCTAGGCGTATGCACGTTTGCAGGTCCATCAGCTTAATGGATGTGAGCCGAGACTTAAAACAGATGAGCCAAAGATAAGTCTCAAAGACTTAGTCAAAAATGCACGGAAGCCACTTCCATGTCTTAAGTCAAAACGTTGAGGTCAGACCCGCGATGCAAAAACCGAACACCGAGGTCACACCCGTGTTCCAAATTCAACATGCAAGGGTGAGACCCACATCTCAAGTTCAAAATGCAGGGTCCACCCCTATATTCCAGAAGCAGGGTTATGGCGCATACCTTCACACAGGTCCTACGTGGCAAATCCCTTCAACCATGATGCATTCGAAGCAAGTGCAGAGAACAAATCTTTTACCACAAGGAATCAACAGCTCCAAGATCAGAGTTGAGATCCAAAGTATTCCAAAAATTCGTCCCAGTCAACCGCGAACTTTCGAAAACTTTGGAGGGGGTTCTGTAGGCTGTCTAAAAATCACAATAGATAGCTGATCCCCATCAAAACACCGATGATGGAAGTTACAATCTGACGACTTCCAGAAGGCTACAACCCTTTCTGCGATTTTCTCTCTCTCTCTCATTTGGTTCCCCTTTGTCCCTTGCTCTCATTAATTGAGGAGAAGGGGTTGGTGTATTTATTGGGAAGTTTGAGTTATTAAGAGAGAGTTTGAACAGTGTTTTAAGTTAAAACACTGTTATTTGGTTGAGAAATCTCAAGCTTGAGATCTTCTCTCTTAGTTGTAATTTCTTGTGATTAATAAGAAATTAATTGTGCCGCTCCCGTGGACGTAGACAAATTGCCGAACCACGTAAAATATCTGTGTTTGTGATTTGCTTGTCATATTTGTTGGATTGTACCCGTGTTGGGTTTGTTAATTTTCTCCCGTGCTCACGGACTCGTTCGGTGTGCGAGCACGCTTCCGCAAAGGCGCGCAACATTAATTACCTTATTAAACACATGCATTAATTACATCAACGCAGTGAATCCAGATCCAGATTCACTGTAGTGAATCTGAATTCAATGTAGTGATTCGAGATACGTTGAGGTAGTGAATCTGGACTCACTGCGTTGAGGTAATTAATGAGGTAATTAATGCATGTGTCTGTTGACTGTTTGACTGAATCCCAGCCATTGGATTCATCTAGATCCAACGGATGAAGAAGGTTTTTAGTTTTTAGGCTAATGAGGTTTTTATTAGAACCTCTCCTATATATATATATATATATATCCTTCCAAATGACAACTTATATTTGAGAAAATCTTGAGTTTTGCAGACCATAGCCATTAAAAGAACCTAACTTTTTTTTTTTACTTAAAGCTGAGCTTACCATGTAGAAACGCAGCGAGACTCCCCCTTGGCATGAAATCAAACACCAGCAGCTTCTCCCCTTTAGGCCCCAAATAATAAGCCCTTAGCTCAAGCAAATGCAAATGCCTGCACTTCCCAATGGAGCTCACTTCCCCCTCGAACTCCTTCGCCCCCTTCGCATACTTCTCCCTCAACCTCTTCACCGCAACTCGGCTTCCGTCCTCCAGCGTCGCCACGTACACCGTCCCGTAAGTGCTCTTCCCCAAGATCTCCGCCGTCGCACACAAGAGGTCGTCGGCGGTGAAAGCAGTCGGCCCATCAAAATGTACCAACTTACCCCCTCCATCCCCTGCTGTTTTCACCTCACCCTTCTCTTCAGCTTCAGCCGGTTCCTCTTCAGCATTCTTTTCACCCAAGACAGTCTTTTTTCTTAACAAACAGCATAACAGAACCAAGCAAATTAGAAGTAGAATCCCAATGGCGATTGCGGCCGCGATTAGAACAAAGGTTTTTGTACTGAGTTTTCGATGTTTGGATTCTGGAGGTGGAGGGTGAGATTGTGAGGGGAGATTTGGAGAAGTGCAAGGGATTGAAAGAGTATAGCCACAGAGGTTAGCGTTTCCTTCGAAGGAGCTCGGGTTGAACTTTTGAGATAGGAGGAGAGGTACAGGGCCTGATAGATTGTTATATGAAACATTGAAAGAGCTGAGATTTGTCAGCTGATCAATGGCGTTTGGGATTTCTCCTGTGAGGTTGTTTTCGGATAAATCCAATGCTCGAAGCTTAGAAAGAGTTCCAATTTCTTCCGGCATTGTTCCGTTCAAGAAATTGTTACTTAAATCGAGTTCTTCGAGCATCGGTTGGCTAATTAACGAGATGGGTATTTCCCCGGATAACAGATTTTGTTCGAGGTTCAAAAATTTAATCTGGGTTCTTCCCCAGTCACCAGGAACCAAACCAGAGAGATTGTTGTAGCTAAGGTTGAGCCTATAAAGCTTAGAACAGTTCGATATCTCAACAGGAATAGACCCAGTAAGCAAATTATTGCTCACATCAACAGCCTGCAGCAGAGAGCAAGCACCAATTGATGCCGGAATCGAGCCAGAGATTCGATTATTAAACAGATGAAGCCCTCTCAAATCTCTAAGAAACCCAACGGCCGAGGGAATCTGACCGGTGATGGAATTATCATGAAGGCTGATCTTACGCAATGCAGTGAGCTGCCCGATCTTTTCGGTGATGTGGCCGCCGAGGCCTCTCCATGGGAGAGTAATGGCGATGACTTTGCCTCTAACGCACTTGATTCCGGCCCACTCGCCGGAGCAGGCTCCAATGCCGGAGCCATTCCAGCTTCTCAAAAACCCTCTTGGGTCTGAAAT